CATAAACATGATTGATTGATTACCATTGCTTCACTGGCAAATTGGTCGTTAATTCCATCCAATGACGTTGAGCCTCATAGTCGCCATACATCGGTGGTTTACCTTTACCTATAGTTTATTCATGATAGATTGAATAACAAGCAAAAATTAGTGGGAGAGCATCCACTTCAATTCGTTATTCACGTACAAGTACATTGCAAAGAGTAGAATAATACACAGTAGTATTGTGGTGCTGAATAAAATTGCCGGGATTCAATGGATCACTATCCTTTATTCATTCCAATGTACTATTCATTATCATGTTATCCACCTGCACGAATGAAGGTGATAGAAATAATCTAAGGGTCAATTCATCATGATTGTAGAGAAGAAGGTGCACAGGCTTGGATTTGTGCAGTCGATATACTAATCTATAGTATTAGCTGGAGATTATGAGTGGAAACGACGATCTGATGGTGCTAATGCGATTTGTCGACTCTAAGTGCTGGTAAGAGAATGAAACATCCACTTTGACGCATTACTTTATACTATACTTTAATCTAGAATATGAAATGATTTATTTCATTTTGACCTGAGTACGGGTTTAAAGAGATACACCATCGAATTAGTAAGGCTATTAGAGTTGCTATGATATTATCCAAAATAAATCCATGGGGGTTGCTAAGAAATTCCGCCATAGTTTCCTTCGCTGCAATCGTAATACGTAACTACTATCATCGACTCCTACAGTAGATAGAGTGATTGATCTACAGTACAGTACTGTAAACTATTACTCTAACACACTTCAATGTTACAATGGACAGTACATACTCTACAGTATGTTGTGTACTGTACTGGACGGATAACCATCTACCGTGTGCCATACTGTACGGTGCACGGTAGCGGGCAAATTGAACTGAAATGCTTATCGTATAAACTTATTGTTTCCATACGGCAACAATAAGTCTAAGAGCAACTGCGATAGCGGCTGCGCGACTTCAAGGGTTCAAACTCAAGCCTTTTTTTTCATACAGTACTAAAGACTATGAACTCCTTTGTAATTAAACTAAGAAATACCCAGGAAAACTGAATGAAAATGAGCTAAGAAATCGTCAATACACTCTATGAAACTTTAAATTTCGATAAGATCGATATACTTGATACATTTTCATAGTAGAAAACCTATTTCTCTGGTATTTTCTGAAGGAGATTTTCGTTTTCGCCAATGTCTGCCATGATTTCTTGCCAACTTTGCACTGTAGACCAACGCAGTTAGTACTGTAGAGATCTCGTCCATCAGCAATATTAACTTACAGTACTGTACAGTACACTGTACAGTATAGTATCAATTTATTAGTCGTCAAGCGAAGACGATACTGAATACTATTCAAAATGTCTTCAAGTTCGCATTACATTATCTAGTATGAGTTTAATGCGACTATACTATTCAAAATGTCTTCAACTTCTCATTACATTATCTAGTATGAGTTTAATGTGACCAATGATTCCATTTCTGTCATTAATATCGATTCATGTAATAAGTTGCAGTACACTATACTATTCAAAATGTCTTCAAGCTCGCATTACATTATCTAGTATGAGTTTAATGCGACTATACTATTCAAAATGTCTTCAAGTTCGCATTACATTATCTAGTAGGAGCTTAATGCGACTATACTATTCAAAATGTCTTCAAGTTCGCATTACATTATCTAGTATGAGTTTAATGCGACTATACTATTCAATATGTCTTCAACTTCTCATTACAATTATCTAGTATGAGTTTAGTGTGACTATACTATTCAAAATGTCTTCAACTTCTCATTACATTATCTAGTATGAGTTTAATGTGACCAATGATTCCATTTCTGTCATTGATATCGACTCATGTAATGACTTACAGTACACTATACTATTCAAAATGTCTTCAACATCTCATTCCATTATCTAGTAGGAGTTTAATGTGACGAATGGTTCCATTTCTATAATTAATATCGACTCATGTAATATGTTTGCGTTCATCATGTAACAGCTTTACAGTGTATAGCGAAACCTAAAAATACTTGTAGTACAGTATGTGATATTTTCGAAATTGGATCCTCAATTGTATGGATGATAAATCTTCATTTTATCCTTAGTCAGTTTATAGAATTATTATACTGTCTGATGGTATGAGGTTCAATAATATACTATACTTAATAACAGTATTCCTCTTTCAAATATATTGCAAGATAGATCCGCAGTATATTTTTACAGTCATTCCGCCATGACGGTGAAGTAAATGCTTCAAATAGAATTACTTACCAACAAATAACTCATTAAATAAGCAATAAACAACTACTTTGACAGTAATGCATCATCAGCGGTTCGAAATAAAATAAATAAATAACTCTGACTCGTTGACGCATTAAAGTTGCTATTGTAATATTTTATCATGCTACTTTGAATACCACAAGAAAAATTGAGTTTTAAGTAATAACAAATTTGAAATTTTTACAGTAAATGATGTTATTTGCAATGTTTATCATAATTTTCGTTTCATTCGAATAAACAGTTACAAAGTTGAAATGTTTAATAGGCTCACTATATAAGTAGCCTAATGTACAACCTACTTATTTTTCATCTTATTTTTCAATAGATTATCGATCCTTTAGTTACGAGCAATAAATTCATTATATATAAAGACAATAATATTCCATCTATCTGGCAATCTTAATCGGCGATATTTTGATTTATTGTACACGAGTTTTTAATACCTGCAAAATTCAAGCGATGTCTACAATTACTCTTGATCCTGATCGAGTTCAATATTATGTCTGCCTTCTTCTTAGTGGCATATA